ATAGAATATAATTTGTGTATTTCGTAATACATTCAAGAAAAGTCTGTTTTACAGTTTATAAAAGAAACTTTTAATACTATATAAATCAACGATTTCTTAATAATTCATCTAAATATATTATGATATCATCAATGTGCCAATGAATTTTGTAACGATTAGTATTTAATAAAAAGCTGAAAACTCATACATTCACATGTTCCTTAAAATTTAATCTCATATGCGCAAATTATTGAAATCAATGTTCTTGTTGGTTATAAATTTATGCTCATCGGAATTTCATTACAACTTGAATGGAATAAATAAAATTCACACGCATTCCATACTTGATAAACAGAGTAATCGTAGTAAGTAAGATTGTATTTAATTTCTTATTATAAAATGTAGAACGAGTGAATTGTGAATACGTAGAATAAGCGAAGTAGTTCATACAATTAAGGTGATATTTTCATAAATTTTATCCTCATTAATGTTACTTTTTGGCTAATAACGTTATGTGAATATTTTAATAGACGGTAATTCTCTTAATCTCGGACAAACGTTTTTTTGTTTTTGTTTATACTTCATAATACGTAATGCCATTATAATCTCACAATGATGTTTAAATCATTTAGCTTAGATATTTCAATACATCTTATGGGCTATGCGTAGTATTAGTTAATTTGTAAACTCGGTTGAGATCATTTTTTCATTTTGACAATTTTTTGTCAAAACAAATTTCATTATGAAATTTGTCATATTATCCGGTTATAATGCATACGATATTGCATACTACTACACAATGATTTTCTTTACACGTTCATTGTTATATTTTTATAATACAATATTCATGCTAATTTTAGAAATAATTTCTTCATTCAATAATTCCAATCATTTCACACTTAATTTAGTAAAAATATAAGTAAAAATAATTAATGAACCTTAAATTTTTCTATGTTTCTATGTTTATTTTACATTTTGTTTTCTTTTTCTCTTTTTAAACGCCGATCCGTTTAGTTTTATCACATTATCATTAAGTGTTCAATAATTTTCTCACCAGGCAATAAAACTAAAATTATGATCCCCGTACATGTACACAATACATCCGCTCTATTAACAAAACGCCCACGCGTGCACACAGATAAGGCAATACGCCAGGTATAAACAGTTCCAATCGTGTTTAGAGCGTAAAATGAAAAAAAAAAATATTCGGACAACGGTTTTCTAATATTCCGAACGGTTAATTTTTAATCGTTATAGGTGCACAGTCGTGTAATTATCTATCCAATGATGAAAATATTGGCGGGTGTCGAGGAGGTCAGCGGCGGAGCAATACAAGATATAATAAACGATCATCATGTCCTCAATGATAAGTCATCCGAGAAAGCTAAATCAGTCGAGGAATCAAAGATCGAAAAGCCGCTCTTGGACAAAGTAAGTTTTTCTATTGTGGATATATTTTTTTTTTTCATTTTTCTTTTCCCCCAACTAAATTGTTATTTTATAAAAGATAAATATAAATTTATTCCTTAGAAATTCGCTTATTATCGTATGCTTTATTGATACGACGAGCAAATTATTATTGATGTAAAAATGAAATTGTTGTTATAAAATGAGCATTATTTAATTGAATTTTATAATCCTTCGTTGAGCTTCATTATTATGCAGTGAAAGTAATTATTTTAACAAATAAGTGTTTGTATAGAAAATGTCATAAAAATATGTGTGAGATTTTTTTCTATTTTTTCTATTTGATTAGAAATTATGTGTAAGTGTAGTGACAAATTAATAACAATTTCAAATTATTATATTACACATGAGAATATCATGTTGACAATTGTTCCTTTTACTCGCAAATCAAATTCATTTAAAATTAACAAAAAAATCTTAACATTTTCAATATATTCGCTACTTTTTTTCATTTCACCGCGTTCTTTCCGACAATGACTAAGTGATTTTCATTCCTATTCATTGAATTGAGAAAAAAAATGTTGTAATAATCATTATTAACGCCTCTTGTTTATTTAATTTGACATGGTTTTACAACTATTAAACGAAAGAAATTTATGTAAGCTTTCTAGAGTAACTGTAAGCTGTAGTTGAAAGCCTTGCGTTCTACATATTTAATTCTGAAAGTTTTGTAAGTTTTCGGAATTTATCTTGTTTTCAAATAGGAAGTAAGAGGAATAAGTTTTTCCTTTTCCGAGAACATTTATTCTTAAATTTGCTTGAAAATTTAATGCCATTATTGAATTATAAACAATTATAACGCATTGCATTACTTATTATAACCCCCCCCCCCTCCCCTCCCCTCCCCTCGTCC